AGCAGGACAATGACCCGAAGCACAAGGCCGAACTACACTGGAGTAGTTTCAAAAGAAGATAGTGAATGTTCTGGATTGGCCCAGTCAAAATCCTGACTCGAATCCAATAGAAAGTTTATGGAGAAACTTGAAGACTGAAGTCCATCAGCGACTCCCAACAAACTTGTCGGAATTGGAGAAATTTTCCAGGAAGAATGGACAAATATTACACCACCCCATTGTGCAAAGCTGGTAGAGACATATCCAAAAAAAAGATTCACCGCAGTAATTGCTGCCAAGATGCTTCCACCATGTACTGACTTAGGGGACTGAATACTTATGCAATCAGCAAATTTCAATTTATATATTTTCTTTGCAGGTTTTGCCGACATTCAACCTCCTTGACACAGAACAGTGTTAAGATTGATCATTAGAGTTTTGAATAAAAACAAGTTCACTGAAAAAATGTTTATATTATTTGTATTTCAACAAAATGTGACATTATTGGTAGGGGTGAATAACTTTGCAACACACTCTAGTAAAATATGATTAAATTAATCTTTTTTTTTCTTACACTTTGGCATGTTAAAAAACCACAATTATAATATTCTTACACAAGGATTAAAAAAGTTTGTTTGTAATTAAGCACAAAGCTACATAATGGGCTATCCGTGCTCTGCCCACCATGGGTATCGAAACTCGGATTCTAGTGTTGTAAGTCCACAGACATACCACTGTGCTACTAGGGGGCTATTAAAAGAGAGATTTCAACTTTATTTTTTTATCTCTTATTTAAATCATACAAATATTTATATACTTAATCACGAAATAAGTATATATATTTGATGATACGTGAACTTTTACATTCCTTGCTACCTAACATTACAAGATAACTAAAGTAACATTCAAGAAATAACTAGGTATAAATTGGAGATTTAATTTTTAAATCTTTGTACACATTACCTTTATTTACTAGCACTATTCCTTGTAGTTCATGATCAAAAAGCAAAACTTAAGTTTATTGGCATCAAATAATTCCGGAGTCCCATCGAATTGAGTCAATTAATGTTTGGCAGGTTGAAAATTGATAGCACTATCCAGTATGTAATTATAAACTATATTTTTAATGTTGTAATTTAGGTTTTAGTTAGAGAACACATCACTTTCAGATAACATTATTTCTAGAATATTGGGAATATTAATGAATGAGTGGCTTTTAAAAACATTTAGAATAAAGATTAGATTATAAATACAAGTGAGCCAGTTACTTAGTTAAGTAAGCTTGCAGTGAAATAATGAAGCATTAAGAAAACAGAAAATTGTTCTATAGTTGGTACAGTGAATCTGTCAGTGTGTTTATGTTTTTGAATCTGCAGTAGCTATTGCATATATTGAGTTATTTTGTACAAGTAAGTTGATTTTTACTTTAGTGTGGTGCATTTAGCATAATTGTAAACATAGGCTTACAAAAAGTTACAAAGTGTACAAGCCTGTAAAAATACATAAAGGAAATAAAACCAATTTTCCATTGTTATCTGAACTGGGCTTTGTATTATTTTCCCCAGCTGATTTAAAAGAACCTGTCAATGAAAAAACAACTGTACAACAATGTTAAGAATACGTAAGTGTATACGTATGGTGTTTTGTGTTGTCTTTTACTTGTAATTGTGACTCAAAAACATAATACACATAATTAGATAATACAGCTAATACTTTGCATTCTAAATCTTAGTAGTAGCCAGGAAAAGTAACTTTTTCATAAACTTATTACTTTTGCATTATTAAATAGATCAAATTACGTAATTTTGAGTTGCAAGATTATTTCTTATTGAAAAATATACACTCCAAATTTCAGATGGCATTTGACTCACAATTTGTGGGTCACGGGATTCAATCCTATCACTGAACACGCACAACTTTTCAGCCATGGGGTTATTATAATGTGATGGTTAATCCCACTATTCGTTGATAAAGAGTAGCCCAACAGTTGGCAGTGGGTGATGATGAGTAGTTGGCATCTCTCTAGCCTATCACTTCAAGATTAGGGATAGCTAGTGTAGAAAGTCCTTGAGTAGCTTTGCACGTAATTGAAAACAAACAAATAAGTTCCACACATATATATATATATATAACTAGAAACTCACCAATGTACATGGAAGAACTTTCTTTTCTTACGTGATCATCAATGTATGTGGTCCCTAGAGTAAAAATGGGAGTACCCCCACAGCCAATCAGGATTTGAGAAAGCATGAATATCAAAATGTAAAGCATATTGGAAGAACTGCCTTCAATGCACGATGGTGAATTTATATCTGGTGGCGGTGGTTGTATAGCAAAATGGCTATAAAAAAAAGAATAAAATAAACAATATGTTTAATAGCCTAGTATTTAGCTGAAGGAAAAAAACAGCAAATGACAAAAAATAAACAAAAAACACATCCTTAAATGTAAATATGAAAAAAAAAATCCCTAAACAATAATAAACTAAAGAATTTCTGGGTATCTAACATTATAGATGCTTGTAACAAACCAAAAATACAATCTTGAATATACATTAGCACAAGTTGGTTCACAATCTCACAAACTCAACGACACTTTCAACCTTACATTGTTCAACAGAAACAAAAAGTCATGAGAATCTTAAAAACATACGCAATCAAAAATATGCTTTCTTTTAACAGCTGAACATGACCTTGAACTTTAAACATGACACCTGGTCACCTTACAACGGAAGATAAAAATATTTGGTCAAATGGGAAATTAGGAAATCAAAATAATATGCAAAAAAAAAAGTGGCTGAAAATGTAAAGATTAATAGTAAGAACTTCTTTAAATACATTAAGATAAAGTATATGTTGGGATAGAAGCAGGGCCTTTAAAAGATAATACATGACGGCTAATATTTGATGATTACAGGATGGCTGGGTTATTAAATTCTACTATTTTCTTCACTTCTTACTAATGACAATTTATGCAATATTCCTCATCTGGAACAATTGCTAGATGGAAACAAGATGACCAAGAAGTTTAAAGAATGATAAAACTCCTGGGACAGATAGTATTTACCTAAGAGTTTTGAAAGAAGTTAAGGATTGGATATGTGAGCCACTTCTTACCATTTTCTCTAAATCCTTGAATAGTGAGCAGAAGCCAGAAGATTGGAAATTGGCTAATGTTACTCCTCTTTCCAAAGGAGGTGATACAAAATTGGCCCACTAATTATAAGCCTATTATTTTTTATATCAGTGGGGGGAAAAGTTTTTGACTCTGATAAAAAATGATTTACAAAATCATGTAACCAAGTTTAAAATCATGTTAAAAACATGGTTTCACTAGAGGAAATTCTTGCCTTACTAATCTTTTGACACTCTGAAGAGGTTATTGTTTACGTAGATGAGAGTACACTCATAGATTTGATGATCTATATTTTTCAGAAAGCACTTGACAATGCAGCATATCTACTTAGATCTAACACAGAGCCAAGCCATGCCCGTACTACCATGACACTCAAGTGTATATCAGTCTCGGAAATGTTTCTGATGGCTTACAAATTAAAAAACACGGAAAAAACTAACACTTGCAATCAAAATGTTTGTATTAGTGGCCAAGAAAGGAACTTATAAGTATTAAAAAAATTAATCAGGTATATTAATTATCAGCTAGTCACATATAACAGAATTAACAAATAAAACAATCCCAAAACCAGTTTTTCATAAATCTTTGATTTAAAATGTTTTGTACAACAGAACCTTTAATTAACATCAAAATAACACTCACAGTTTTCAAGCAATTATCAAACAGAAACCTAGCAGACAATAGTAGGAAACAGTTTTAACCATACCTTGTTCCAAGATGGTGTGGCTGGACTGGTAAAGACACTTGGCAAGTGTTCTCATCCATGCTACTAGATGAGTTCCTCCCAAACTTACCACGAGAAAATGAATCGGACTGACCAAGGAAATATGGTAGAGAGAAAATAACTGACCCAATGCCCATCACCAAGATTCCTGAAAAATTATTATCAACAACCAATTAACTCTCTCATTATGAGCTCAGTCCCAGGAACCAACCTCGTAACCCAATTTGCACTTTATAGTTTTTCATATTAAAACTTTTAATATGGTTGGCATATCTTCATAAAATTTTGCAAATTAACAGTAAACATTACAAGATTTTAATACACAAAACATCAGATTTCTTATTATGTTTCAAGGTTTTTTAAGTAATCATTTGCTCGTGCATGTTTGTCTTTTCGAATGTTGACTATCCAACGTGCAAAGTAATTTCAATTTTAAGATTAAAAATACTTTTATGCATCAAAAAATTATCACATTTCACATATAAATCCCTATAACCTCCAGAAAATTATCAAACGTTTTTTTTAGAAAAATCTTTATATTTTATCTGTTATTTTCACTATTGTATCTCTGTGTGGATTTGGTAACCACCATAAAACATTAGGATATAGATATAAATTCTTTTTTTTTTCCACAATGACTACAAATTATAACAACAAATCACAAATGTTTAGTCTAAATAACTTAAACCTGATAACATTATACATCTATATATATTTATTATTTTTATTATATTGACCTTTCAGCCATGTCTGACTAACATTACAGAAGTTGCAATGATGCAGTGCACATGCACTCATTTTACCATATCCAACAGAATAAAACTGCCCTTTACAAAGTGACCTGTCTTGGTTTTATTTTAGTGGACCAGTATTTTGTAAAACACAGTCACATTTTGGTTACCATACATTACATATGTATATATATATATATATATA